GACAATCGTTGATGATCCCTATGTGAGTTCAGGTGTTATACTGAGTTAGAGTGGGGAAGAGAGTGTAAGGGGGGTGGGGGGGGGGAGGCAAAACAGACCCACAAAGTAAAAAACAAGGATGCCGTTTTCGTCGACTAATTGGCAGTGCATCTGCCTGAGACGCAAGGAGCCAACAATGCGCATACAAATAAGACAGATCTGTAAACCGGATATGCAGGCAATACTAAGATTCTAGATGAACTAACAACCAGCACTTTTTGACGGAGTTTACAGCCGGTGAACGCGAAGAAGAGGAAGCAGCAGAAGAAAGAAGAAGAAGAAGAAGAAAAAGAAGAAGAAGAAGAAGAAGAAGAAGAAGAAGAAGAAGAAGAAGAAGAAGAAGAAGAAGAAGAAGAAGAAGAAGAAGAAAGAAGAGAAGAAGAAGAAGAAGCAGAAGCAGAAGCAGAAGAAGAAGAAGAAAAAGAAGCAGAAGAAGAAGAAGAAGAAGAAGAAGAAGAAGAAGAAGAAGAAGAAGAAGAAGAAGAAGAAGAAAGAAGAAGAAGAAGAAGAAGAAGAAGAAGAAGAAGAAGAAGAAGAAAGAAGAAGAAGAAGAAGAAGAGAAGAAGAAGCAGAAGCAGAAGCAGAAGCAGAAGAAGAAAGAAGAAGAAGAAGAAGAAGAAGAATAAGAAGAAGAAGAAGAAGAAGAAGAAGAAAGAAGAAGAAGAAGAAGAAGAAGAAGAAAGAAGAAGAAGAAGAAGAAGAAGAAAGAAGAAGAAGAAGAAGAAGAAGAAGAAGAAGAAGAAGAAGAAAGAAGAAGAAGAAGAAGAAGCAGAAGAAGAAGAAGAAGAAGAAGAAGAAAAAAGAGAAGAAGAAGAAGAAAGAATCAGAAGCAGAAGCAGAAGCAGAAGCAGAAGCAGAAGCAGAAGAAGAAGAAGAAGAAGAAGAAGAAGAAAGAAGAAGAAGAAGAAGAAGAAAGAAGAGAAGAAGAAGAAGAAGAAGAAGAAGAAGAAGAAGAAGAAGAAGAAGAAGAAGAAGAAGAAGAAGAAGAAGAAGAAGAAGAAGAAGAAGAAGAAGCAAAAGAAGAAGAAGAAAGAGAAAAAGAAAAAAGGAGGAGGAGTTGGCGTAAGTTGGTTGACAGCGTCTGCCTCACTGGCTGGGTCAAAAGAAGCCATTGTACATATCTTGACATAGCTTGGGTTCAAAAAAGGTTAAGAGAAAAGTCTGCACGGTAGATATGGATCAAAGATAGCACAGCCACTGTCCTTGAGAATTTTCCAGATATGGAGAAAAGCGTCCTAACCTATTTGTGAGTTGATAGTGACAGTTCATCTGTGGGATTACTTTATCTTGTCTCCTGTTGGGTAGCAGACCGCCTTGCGTTGGTTTCCGCAAGGATATAAGCGTTGTAACGTTCCCAGTATATGCACAAATTGAAGCCGGTATGTTGACGAGGTCAACGCATACTTTTTCAACTATACTTCTATATAAAGTTATACGACAAAGAATATGGCGATAAATTGGACACATTCTGATATAAAAGGGGAAAAAAACTAGCAGAGAATCAACAGGCATGCACTATCCATCCATCAATTTATGAAAAACAAAACAAAAACAACAAAAAAAAAAAAACGACCACGTTTAACCTACTGCGTGCAGTATCAATTATAAATGTGGTCTGGTGGTTTTGTGCTAATTACGTTTTTTTAGAAATGATAATCGTATCAAACTATGGAGCGGTAGTGTAGTAGTCAGTGAGAGTTGCACTAACATGGGACATAAATGGATTGCGCAGGCAAAGACGCCCAAGAAAGACAAAGACTTTTACTTAATGCTCTTTTCTGCCATCTCTCTTTCCATTGATCTGTCTAGCTGTCACAACATATTCGATGTTCCTTCTTCTCATAACATTACCAAAATATGATGACTGTCTTTTTCTGATTTTTGTGGTAAGTTTTTTCAAAACATCTAGGTTGCTAGCTTTGCCTGCCCAAGAAAATTCTAATGATTCTCTAAAACCATATCTGCAAAGCCTAAAAGAAATTGTGTGGTTTGTTTATTAAAAGTTCGCAAAGGAGAAAACGTTGTCAGGATATCCATTATCTTTTCAGAGTGTTATGATAAGAAGAGCAACGTATTGCAATTGACCTGTTACATGTTGCTGATTATTATCTTCTTCTTCTTTCTTTTTTTTTTCTTCTTCTTTTGTTCGCTTGAAATAAATTATCTATACCCGCAATGTTGTACTCATAGTATGAGCTTTACTGTCTTTTGTAATTCACTCAGTGACCCGTAAAGTTTGACTTGCACCGATGTTTCTCTTGGCAAAAAGTTTTGCCTTGATGTGTTGTTTGGGACAGTCTAGGAGGACGTGATCTGTTGTCTCAGGTGCCAATCCACTCATGCACATGGCTGATTCGCCGATTGTAAATTTTGTGTACATGTGGCTGTGAAGTTGTTTGTGTCCTGTTCTAAGGCGTACAATAATAACTTGCTCTGGTCTGTCCATTCGCTCGAAATACGTTGTTTGCCTGTGCAGTTTTGTATTTCCTGTCACTGCCTGTGTCGTTTTGTTCATTCAGTAGTCCGTTGTGTTTATTTCCAACTGCTTTTGGTTTTTGGCTATAAGGGTTGTCTTTTAATGTTTCATATTCGAAGGTCTGATAA